ATAGGCTGTGTGCCCAGACAGATTGAAGTCTCTCATGCCTCAAACTTTGTCCACTGGTAGCAGGTCTTTGATGTCATGGAGACCAGAGTCACTCACAAACTGCAGAACTGAAGGGGGAGAAAATGAGATTTCCTGGATGCAATGGCAGAAGGAGTATTTCTCTAGCGTAAACTTTCCACCAATGCAGGAAAGACATGCATAAGGAGCCCGCGAATGGAACGATGTCCATGAAGCGTCCCAAGGCTGGATGGTGATTTTAGGGGAGGTCACTGCTGTAGGACTTGCAGGCGAAAGGTGAGCTGGGGGCTGCCAGCTCGGAGTCCCACAGGAGGGACATGATGCGTGAAGATGCAGACCGGACAATGAGGAAACTACTCAGTAAGAGAAACGCTGTAGCTACAGAGTGCTGCTCCTCAGTGATGCAGTTGAAATGGTGGACTGAAATGGAGCAGGCTGCTATCTGTCTATATAATCATGTACTCAGGATATGTATCACGACTCTACTCCCCCTCTGCACAGTGTAATGTTAAACCCCCCCTCAGTTCTCAAGGAATAGAACATATGAATGCCCACTGAGTGAATGTACATGTGCACTATTATTTGGAAATAGAAGCTATTGTTTTAAGTTCTGTTTGCTTAATTATTCATTATTTACTACTTTAATTATGCATGAAAATCATCAAGTACTTCTGAATTTTCTTTACGCTACACAGACTGTAAGCCATGCTAAGAAAGTTATGTAGTGAGGTGTCCCTTCCATTAGTCATAAAAGAAGCATAAATTACAATTCAATATATAATTCGCTGCTTCTTCACACAATGATTTAAAGTTGACTGAGTACTATTATTTCATACTCAGCATACTTACTGCTGTATAAAACTTTCCCATAAAGGAAAGGCATCCAGGCACTTTTCTGAACATCAGTATTGTTAAACATTTTTTGATGAGGCTTTTTTTGAAAACACGTTTTACCTTTCAGTTGTTTACAAATTACTTTAGCAGTGATTTGGGAAAGCACTTAATATATGCTCATATTCTTCTTTGAACGGGGACTTTGCTTAAGTGCTTTTCTGAGCAGAATCTTGTTCTGTTTATCTGTCCATTTACCTGAATTTAAAGTAGGGATGATTTTGGTAGCTTAAAACATTTTGAAAGCAAGCTATGCAAGAGTAGCATATTGCTCACTTCCCTCATCTCTCCATCTGCAACATCTACGCTTCCTAACACATCCCTACCCCATCCTTGTTTGCCACGCTCGCTGGACAAGACAGAGCACGTGCTGTGATCATACAGGAACTATATATATTCTTTCTTTACTGACTAGCCAACAGACAGGTTAAGTGGTCTGTCAGCTGGTGTCTCTAGTCCAGTCAGCAAGTCTTACGTAGCTGAACCTTGCTTTTCGACTTGCAGACCCAGCCAACAGCTTGGTGAATCTAAGTGGTCATTTTTCACACTTGAGAGAACATATCTTTTTCTCTGTTACCGAACTGATGTTGGGTAATGGGTTCAGAGTTCTTTACGGTGCCTGACAGACAATGTGACCCCAGAAACTTTGTTTCCTTAGAAAGCCCAGGGGGGGGAATTCAAACCCATGGATATCAAATTCATGAATACTTGTACAAAATGAATAACTAAAAAAGTCATGAATGCTACCGAGTTCATTTTATATGACTTACACTGTTAGTATTTTTTTTCAGTATTTGATCAGGTCTGGTAATGCTTTAGTCATCAAATCGCAGGGAGGTTTTCAGGATGCAGTTCACAAAGACTTTTCAAAGTGTTACTTTCCTTAGTTTGCTTCTTGTCATTGTTAGAGCTGAGCAGTGTACTTGTTGATGCTGGTGATTGCATGAAGAGGCAGTTAAGATTTTAATATTAGCTGTGGTAGAGCTCTGTGCATAAAGATGAGCCTTAATCACTTTTGAATTAATTCACTTCTGTCAGCAAATATTCTTCCTCTTTGACGCTCTCAGATTACTCTACTCACTAACTGTGGTAGAATACAACTCTTCAGTTTCTGTGGATGTCCACAGTACTCTTCATTGCATTATGTTATTCAGCAAATTCCAACAGCAATATCTTCTCCAAAAAGAGAAAAAAAACCCAACCAACCCTGAGGAACAAGCTAATAATTTTGTACGTTTAAAGAAGAATCTGTTAATTTCACATAAATTATCAAAAAGAAAGGGCCACTAGAGGGAAGTAAATCCAATATGCTCAAAGAAAATAAAATGCTAGCTCGTTAGCTACTGAAAATTATTGTAGCTAACAGAATGGTCTGGATTTACAACAGAAGATATTGTTCTATGTTTTTAACAAAGATATGAAAACGGAAGAAAACAATTTATATATTTATAAAAAGGTCTATTGCTTCATGCAATGTGTATACCAAAACCATTAAAACAGTATGTATGAAAGATTACACATAAAAAGGTAGTATGAACATGGGGTAAATATGTTGTGAAGGTATAATTTATTATAGATCTAGATCTTTCATATTAGACATGCATCAAAAGTGAAAAATTGTTTTAAATCAGTATGTTTGGACTTCTGATAATGCAGTCCTTGTACACGTTAACATATTTTCGATTTGTTGTCACATCATGCGTATAACTTGGAAATTTGTTTTCTATGAGCACGTGCACAAACCTCCAACACCACACAATAAGTACTGTCCATTTCAGTATAATTAAGATTATAAGGAAAGATTGTAACAGTGAGTTTACTGTTTGGTGGTATAGATAGAAAAAGAAATGCAATATAAAGGTGATTAGTTAGTATTTTTGGTAAATATGGCACAGCAAAACTATAAATTGTTTACTAATAGCTGGCTAACAATAAAAATAAAAAAGGTCACTTTTATCTGAGAACTTCAATGTGATTTATAAACATTAATAAAATCTCTGCATTGTTCTGAAGATTTAATTCTACAGCTTCCTGTGCTGAGGTTAGATACCCCAGCTTTTTCTGTATCACTTCTTATTTATGACTAAAAGTAACTCACAAAAAATGTTTATTGTCCTCTCAATAATTTCCATCACTGAAAACTCCATTAATTTTCTTCCATATTGCATGACATTACCTTTCTCTCTTTTACTTCTATATATAGTTACCGTGCTTATGATTTTGTACAACTACACAGTTTGTAAGCCTACAAAAATGGTTTTATCTTTATAACTACATTTTATAGATGCCTCCATTTCATTTATTACAATGCTTTCTCCTGCAAAGCTGTCTTTTTACATCCAAATAAACTGACAGATATTCTAGAAATCTCGTCTTAAATTCTCTGAAGCCATTCCAACAGCATTTTTAGTAACATAAGAATTATTATAGGGAATGCAGGCAGCCTACTTTCTAGAGTTTACTATCAGTGTGTCACAAATTATAAAAACATTGGTCTTTTCCCTGTTTTGAGTAAACTGCCGTGAAAATCTATATCCTTAAACCAGGAACAGTCAACAGCAAAAGACATATTATTTTTTAAAAGCCCACCACTTAAATACACATCACAAGCTGCGTTCACACAGCTGTTAGCCAGTTTAAAAGCAAACCACATGTCTGGTGACCTCCACCTGTGCATGCTTGGTGACTTGCATTTGGTACCATGTAACAAAACATCTAAAAATAAGTGCACATAGGGGTAGTTTCTGGCACCATGTTTCTTTCCTTTAATAAGAAAGAAAAGGAGAGATACAGGTTTGCAACACGATACACAGCCTAAGAGGCAATTCTTAGGGCAAGGCATATATCATTAGACATCTTATATAACTAGCTCTTCCGTTAGCACCATCATGTGAACGGTGAGTAGTTTTCATGCTTTTTCTAATCCATTTTCATGAATATTATTAGTATTACCATCATTGTCATTATCATCATCATCATCACAGCAAGCTGTTAATTTTTGTATGCCCAAAGGCAAACAAGTCATTACTTACTCATCAACAAAACTACTTGTCCCAGATACACAAGTAAGCAGATTTTTGCTAGGCTGATCAGTGAAAGAACCCAGGGCCTTCCTACAAGTGGAACATAACGGATCCTCCTGTTATTAGCACGTTCTGTCATTAGCACTTTTACTAAATACTTTCATATTATCAAAGGTCTTCTACTCAAACCTGTCCTTTTGCCAGTTCAGTTCCTGTTCTACGTTAAACACTTCAGCTACAGTTGCAATGTCACTGCACAGTAGGTGAAAAACATTTCTGGAACAAATGTCAGCAAGGGATAATTTTGAAATAACCTTGTCATCTACAGTAAGACAAGCCAGAAGATAACACTGCTATATAGGTTGCTTAGTTGGTAACCTATGATGCTGTTTCCTGGCATAGTAAGTATTTCTAAAGATGGACGAAGAAAAAGTTGCAGAAATAAACAAAAATATAGCGCTCTTCTAGTTTCCCATGTTTCTCATAAAGATCAGCCTCAGACATGAATTTGAACAGAAATTGCGGAAGAAAAAGTTCAAAAACAATAATGCAAAGTGGACAATTAAAGGAACAAAAAGATCTATTAGGTTACCGCAAGGAAATGGCTCATACAGATGTTGAAACATCTTTAGGGAAGCTGTATTAGTACTACGGAACATGTATATCAAAGGAAGTGGGTTCACTTCCATTTCACCTTTCAATTGTAAAATTGGAATAGATAACCTGTGGTGTTTTACTATTTCAAAACAGAAATCATAAGGAAAGTCTTGGAAAAGCACCAGATGTAGACTCCAGTTCTGATGAACCACTGATACAGTTAGTCTCAGGTAGTTACAGCTTGCACTTATTTTTAAACAGGAAGACATATTTTTGTGCCCTGTGTATTGGGGTCATTTAATGCCCTCATCAGCAGAAGCTGGAAGTTGTCACCAAAAGCACTTAAAAACGTGTAACAATCTGCAAAACATCCTCACTTGCTGTCCCAGACTTCCAAGAAACAAAACGATCCCCCTAATAAATGCATAGATGACAGGGGCACAGCAACAGACATGCAGTGCTGGGACTTACCATCTTGGTCTGTGGTAACCGTGATAGCTGTGAACTGCTTGGGAGAGAAACTCAGCTCCGAGACCCCATTTGTGGCTTCTATTTCGAAGGTGTAGTTCACGTGTGACACAAAATCCAGCACTGTCACAGAAGAATTGATGAGACCTGTGTGCCTGGGGATGAAACGGATACCTCCCCCACAAATCTCACACTGGCTGGTGTCCGACCCGCATTTCTTACAGATGACACTGTACGTGAGATCTTTTCTTCCTCCGGTATCACTTGGGGGGCTCCATTCCAGCATGAGAGCTGTTTCATTAATGTTAAAAATCACATTTCTCGGAGCAGAAGGTGGCCCTGCAGAGAAGGAGGGGGAAGCCTGTTAAGTCACAGTTGTCTATTTTGGAAGAAAAAAAAACCACATGAAAAAATATATTAGTGTTAAGGCAATTATTTTGCAAATAGAAGCTAAAAGAGTTATGTTTCATTAAGAAATTCAATGGAGAAATTATCTAAATACCTACAATCCTTGAAAATTAAGCAGGAATAATAAATAGGTGCGATCATAAAAAGCTGAATAATCTAAATAAATTAGAATTAATTCAGAAATAACTTAAGGCAACGTAAAAATGACTTGGGAATGTCAAATCCAGACTTGATAACCCAAATTTGCACTAAATCTCTCTTGATCTTGTGGGATACTGGGGTAGAGCTTTAAACACAAAATATGTTTCCTTATTTTATGTCTAGTAATGCAGGCTTGTCTGATACTTATAATCTTTGATGTCTTATAAGACTTAAATTGAATAATAAATAACAGCTTTGGAATAACTACAAGAGGTAAAATTGTTTGTATTATTTCTGCAGTGCCAGATATTTTTCTATCCTTCACTGCTTATCCCAAGGGATTTCTTTGCTGCTGTTCATTAACAGAGTTAGGTGGCAACAGGCCAAGACTATTAGGCACAAGAGACAGTTTACAAGTTCTTTCTTTCCCACCTGGCACCTCATCAGCGTCAGTATAACAGTGAAGACATCAACCTTGCAAGCTAAAGATCTAAAAGGATGGCTGCAAAGCAGGAGAAAAAATAATTCTTGGACTGTGGGGAGAGATGTAAAGATAGAAGCAGCAGGTAGAGAGTACAGGAAAGCTCTCAGCTAGCATGCAGGTGGTAAAGCTCTCTCTGTACTGTCTGAAGAACCATGAGTGACCCATTTCCCATGGATCCCACAACAGTCAAGGTATGTCCAACAAGTTTTAAGCTGTTACGCTGACTTACTGTGTAGGATCACACGTAAATCATCTGAGGTTTTATATATCAGCTTCCACAGTCTCATGGAAGAACTTTACCACCTAATGATTTTTCACAGAGGAATTAGTGAAGGGGTGAAGGAAAGGCAGAAACTGTTAAAGGAAGTCTGAATAATCTTATCTCCATTTCTTACTATATCCTTCTTCTTCCACTTAACGTATTTCAACTGAGCACTTACAGACACATGGTTTTCAAAAGCAATTTGTATATATACACCCAAAATATGTTCATAAAAATTATGTAAGAAACACAGATTCAGCAAAATGCAAGGCCTTATACTCCAGGTTTTGATATATGCAAGACGACTGTGGTAAACTCAACTAGCGATCTTTGGGTTTTTTTGAGCTGAATGAGTTGAATAAGCTTTATATGCCCAGCTCTCAACATAAAATCACACTGCACGTGGATTGCTTAGCCAATGGTTAGCAGAACTTTGAAAACTTTCAGCTTGTTTTGCAGCTTTTCATGACTTATACAACCTGACAGCAAGACTTAAGTATAAAGTTTTGATTGAGGTACTGTTGAGTGAGCTTTTCATTATTTCAGGGCCTCTCAAGTGGACTGAAAGACTATATGAAACATTTGCAAATAACATCAGCTAATTCTTACACAGAGTGTATTTCACCCAACAAATGGAGTAGCACACTAAATCTGAGGGAGTCAGATAATTAAAATATCATGATGTCCTTTATAAAAACTTTAAGACAATGAGAGAAGAACTAAACAAAGAAAAAAAAAAAAAGATCAACACTCTTGTAAATTCCAGTTCAACAACCTGTAAGGTGAAGGCAAGACCCTGTGCCCAAAGTATGGTCAGATAAATCATAGAATCATAGAACTGTCAAGGTTGGAAGTGACCCTTGGGATCATCGAGTCCAACCATCTACCCTATTCTACAAAGTTCTCCCCTACACCATATTCCCCAACACCACATCTAAACAGCTCTTAAGCACATCCAGGGATGGTGACTCAACCACCTCCCTGGGCAGCCTATTCCAATGCCTGACCACTCTTTCTGTGAAAAATTCTTTCCTAATGTTCAGTCTAAATCTACCCTGTTGGAGCTTTGCATTAGGAAGGAAAATAAAATAAAATATCAAAGCTCCTCCTAACATTTCCTATATAAGTCAGGATCCCAAATCTCTGCCAAAAAAAAAAAAAAAATTAAAATATACTTTTTTTTTCTAATAATTCCGTTCCATTATTTCTTTTTTTTCCTTAAGATCTGCAATTACTGCACCACTGATACACTGACTGGATTTTCAAACTTTTAGCTATTTATTTGACTGAACAAAATGTAGTGATTTAGAAAATGAAGCCCATGAGTGGTCCTGAAATATGCACCTACAACTGAAATAAATCCATTTATTCAAGTTCTTAATTCTTGAGGATGACCTTCAATCCTAAAATGGACTAGATTTTAAAAGAAAACATGACTACTATATAGTAATAAAGGTCTATACAGTTGTACTTACATATAGCAGCAGGAAGGAATACTAACATTAATGAAGGAAAGAGGTAATAATAGTTGCAGAAGAAACATCGCTATTCACCAAAGTTTGTAAGTTTTAGGTGATGTTATTTGTTTACTTATGTGCTATAAAAGCTGGAATGCTTGTAAAGAGAAAAAAGTTTGTATGGTGTGGGAGGGATAATGTGCACTGAAGTGTATTAAAGTTTTATGTGAACTGTAGTTGAACATTTGAGTTGCCTTTTTCTTTCTGGGATTTTTTGAAACTTTAAATAACTGAGACTACATTTTGATTAAAATTATTTTTACCCTAAATTAAATGATGACTTAGCTGCTGGAATTCAAGCCCTTCCTTAATAATTAAAATATTTGGAGGTGTTAACATCACTTTGCACTTTTTTAGTGGACAAGAAAGTTTAAAACGTTTTGAATGTGTGAGTATTTATTCATACATCTAGCTGTGTAGAGTTCATAGTTAGCAGCCCAAAGTAAAGACCAGTTATTTTTCAGCATATCAAGGAACGATTTAGCTGAACGTTATGTGGCTCATTTGTACTGAAGATTGATATTTCTGGAACCTGTTAGATGAAAATTGTTTTTGTAATTTGTAATTTTTATGGTCACAGAGAATATTTTGAATATTTCCTTCCTGGTCTTTAACTGTGACCTTGTCATAAGTCTATCACAGAAGCACTTGAAATACTGTAATATCTAAGCATAAATGCAACTTGTTAACAAAAGCTAATTAGTGGTGTCTAGTGGTATGGAAAACAGAGACAAAATATGGCCTTGAAGATGTTGATGTGGTCCAAAAGACCCTACAACCTTAGAGTGTCTCAGATTTATAAATCTCTAAACTTCCCATAAAATTACTGTGAGGTTGAGTGTTCTAGCTACTATGGAGAACAATCCTGAGATTGGAATAAGCTAAAACTAGCACAGATTACTTCAGCTTCAGGTCTTATTATTTATATGCAGAAGACAGGAAGAATTATGTCCCCTCTAAAAACATGTTGCGATAATTAAATAATGATTGGTCTTAACAAATTCCCACTGTTAAAACCAACGACGAGTTTTAGGAATATGGAGGGTGAGCCTTAATTGCACTTATATATGTGCATAACTTTAAGCGGATCAGTAATCCCCTTGAAATAATTGGTAATACTCATGCACTTAAAACTAAGCATGTGTGTAATTGCTCGAAGGATTTGAGCCAGTGTTTTAAAACTGACTTAAATTTAATCTTACATAAACTATAGATATTATGACAATGGGTCACCATAGCTCAGGAGGTTTTTATGTTAAGTCATCAACTTTGTCAGGCCAAAACAGGAATTAATGTGAATCTGGGCAATAGGAGAGTTTTGTCTGGCTTTGTTAATTTTAATTTTCTATCAGATTTTTGTTATACTATGTGTAGCTGGAATCAATAGAAGAACCAATACAGTAAATAAAATACACTTTTTAAAAAACATTGTATTTTTTTTGTACTGGAGAGTGAGGTTGTTATATTCATGATTTGGAGCTTAATCCTCAATGGTAAGAAAAACCACAAATTATTGTACATTCACATTTCAATGAATAGGGAGAACATTATCAATTATGCTAGGGATGTCTGAAAGTATATGACTGTCCGCCTGCAAATACTGAAAAAAAGCTCAGACACCCTTCATACTCAAGGCCCCTCATGCCAATTTGCATGACGATTAAATAGCTTTTTAATTGCTGTTAAATTATGCCAGTTAAACTGTGATTTCATGCAAATATTAAGCTGTAATGACATGCAGTGAATCATTTACTAAGATTTAGAACTTGGAACAAAGAGAGACAATTAATTCTAATCCTCAGATTCAGCTAAATTATGTGTCACTGGGCTTTTATGAATGTGGCCTGATTGCTTTGTTATCATTTATAAATTATACAAAGATTATTTGACACATTGCAAAAACTTGGCAGCAATAACCCTTCTGCAGACATCTGTGAGCAAAGCTCTCAGGGATTTCCTTATATTGATTTTTAAGGAAAACAAGTACACTGGCAAAAATTAAGGATCATTTCCTCACAGCAAAATTCCTGAGTTTTGATTTTATACCAAAGAGTAAACCACAGTTCAGATGGATGACCATTAAAAAAAATGCAGCTCTTCTGCTTCTTAGATAAAACACAGGCCGAGCGTGAGCAATGTCTTTTGCTTCATTTACAAATTATAACGTAAGAATTATTTCTACACTCTCTGTGGAGGAGATACGTTGATGCGTTATGGAGAATCAGGCCCACTTCATGAGAAACAGAGCTGAGTTTATGCCTCATACAGTGACTCACACTTCATCTTGCTTTGCGTATCCTCTCCCTCTGTGAAGGTGAAGTGCATTTTGCCCTTTATGGAAGGAAAGAGGAGCAAATCTAACACTGCAGAAGTCTAGTTAGTGCAATTAAGTATTTTAAACGCTACAGAGTGATGACTATCTGGAAAACACTTTGCTGTTTTTTAAGTGAGAACTGTTCTTTACCAACTATTGGACTCTTTGAAATGTGTTTTATTTGACTACTGAATTTACAGTGGAAGGGCAAAAATTAACCACCATCTTCTGAGAATACTCAGAATCAGCATCTGGCTGTGCCTCGAGTTCATAATTGCTTTTTTATATACATAAATACATACACGTAGCATAGATAAGTAGTGTCATTTGGTGTAGAACGCTGTATTACATTTTTTTCTCTTCAGAACTACTTATTCTGAGGCAGGCAGGAAGAATGGAAGCCAGTGACTGCAAACCAATACTCCAAGTATTATGGTATAATGATACCATAATGATATATATGAGCATAATGATAAACAGCAAACAAGTGTATATATAAAAATAAAGATAGAGGCAGTAGAGTCGAAGGTTTCAAGCATGTTGCTTGATTTTGCTTCTGGAATACAGTGTTCACTCAAAAATAGAGGATACAGCTTGTGGCAGAGGTCACTGAACAGAGCATAAGTTTGTAGGGTTCAAAACTGTTTAAGCATAACCTGAAGAGACGCATTCATACTCAGACACCCTATATAAGCCTGCCTGCCTTTGACCTTGAAAAGACGGATCAATTTATCCAATTACATTATAGTGGGAAATGTTAGAGTTTATGCACAGAGCAATCTGACAGAGGATTAGATATGATGCTATTCGTTACTCACTGCGTATGCAGAGAGATCACTGATAGAGTACTTGCATATGTCAAAGAAATACAATAAGGAGAAAGAGTAGCAGCAAGAGATTGATAACAAGTGCCAATCAAATGAAAAAAGGCTAGGAGAAAGAAATTAACAATATATCCTAATGTACTTTTCTTTCCTTTTATTAAAATTAGAATTCTATTATGCTTTTCTGCAAAGTGCATACTCTTCTTTTACAAAATACAGTTACATGAAGCAAAAATGGGAACTGTACAACTTTGGAAAAGCATACAGTATGCACTTTCACAGAATTAATGAAATAAGATTTGAAGCTCTTCTTGAAAAAAGTGGATGCCTGAAGCTACATTCTTAAATTCATAGTATCTTAAATCAAGGTCCTAATTTTCCATAATGCTGCGTATGCAAGTTTTCCAGTACTGAGGAAAAATTCTGGAGTGAGGAACACTGTCTAAGTCTATATGAGAATGATGAGAGAGAATAAAATATCTACCTATCTTAGGAATATTGCTTTGCGGGACTTGGGGAAGCAAATAAAATTGGTATGAATACAATTGGTTCAAAATGTTTGCATATGAAGAAATTTATAAGGGGAATCTACTATTCATTCTATGTTTGATTAAAGAACAACTCTCATTCAAAAAGTCACATGAAAAAAATTAATCTCTTATGTCACATCTCAAATGTCAGGATAAAAATTTGCAAATGAACATCAAAAATGCCAATCTGCCCCAAAAGCGGTTATGTAGAAAAGGCATTTTCTTACTGCACAGCCTTTCTCCCTATATTTAGTCAAACTGTTTTTTTTTTTTTCCTAACTTTTCAGCTGCTTTTATTACAGTAAAGTGTGACAGTTTGGAAGGAACAATCTAAATTCTACTCTGCCTCATACCTGTATGTTTGTTTATTAAATTTAAATTAGCCACATCTGCACAGACCCACCAAAGGCAGTGAGGTTGTACTTATGACAGAAACATAATTTTAATAACTGAGAGCATAATTTGAAAGCAGTGGGGCTAAAGATATCACTTAGGGAATAATTTGGCCTGCAGACTCTTCATTACTGATGACGTGCAAGAAGATAAGAATGCAGTCTGCCTGTCAAGAGTCTCGGTGTCATTTGCAGAGCTGACAATTAGTGAAATAATCATCATCGTAGGTATAAGATGAATATATCCGCTGTTACAGTCAATGAAGTACTGATACCTTGCAGTCTAGGCTGAATGAGAGGCAATGCATGATGGCACTGAATCAAGAGCAAGGCAGAAATTAGAACTTGGTTCACCGTCTCCTTTATTCTTTCTTATTTCTCCCAAGTTGAGGTGAGGAGGGGCACTGGTACCTCTGTTGTGGTTGATTTCTTCCCTGCCTCCACTCACTTGGTTGCTTTGGCTGACATCCTAAGCAGGGACGGAGGGATCTGGCAGCAAGTCTTCCCTGACAGTTTTCAGCCAAAGCGGTTCTCAGCACCCCGCTTTTGTTGGGAAAGCACCGGGGTGTTGTAGGTACCTGCTCCCTGATGCCACACGGCTCTCATGCTCCTCCCTATCTTGTCAATACTGATGAGTAGAGGGGCTTAAAATTGTGCCCTGAAAGATAATTATGGAAATGTAATGCCATGTATGAGTATTTTTTTCAGAGAAGAACTGTCTTTTGGAGATGAAAACTCAATGACATAAATAATATGGAACCACATCTGCATAATACATGAATGAAACCATTTTTCTAAGCATGAAACTGTCAAGAGTGCCTGGGATGTGTGTTAGTTCCGTGGGTAAGTTTTTAATGGCCTGTGTTTTGGGCACTCATTTGAGCGGAATTATTTGTAATCACCATTTTCCTGTGGGAAGTCTGGAATAACATTACCTCTCATATTTTGTGCAAAAACATAGGCCTATGTGCCTTGATCCAGAGTGAGCTGACAGCAGATTGTGTGTGTTAGATTAGGGTGCCTCTCTGAACCCTATGTCCCTTAATTACCTGGAGGCTGGGATTTAGCCTTCCAATCTGAAAACGCTATGGTTAGATTAGACAACTTTCTGCTAAGTGCCTTGGACCTGAGGAATGCCATTTTTGGTGACCATCATTCCTATTTGTCGGAAGGACAATGTCTTCGTGTACGTAATGACGTCAGGATCACAGAGTGCCTATGACTTCATAAATCAGCTCCAAACTACCCAGTATATTCCAATTTGCCCAGTACAGTGCCATTTGGAGAGACTAGAATGAGCACAATAAGTAGTTCAATTCTGCTAGAGTCAGCTCAGTTATTTTTATATGGTGCTGCCTTATGCAGTGTAAAGATAGCAAAATTATGACTATACACATGGTTATTGCAGCAGTGCTTTGTTTTCATGTTTTAATCTCTTAAGCTTTTTGTATACTTTGTCTGCTAAAATACTTCATGCACTTAACATGTTAATTTTTTTTTCAAATTTCCTTAACAAGAAGACTGTGGCAAAAAATGTACTTGAATCAAATCCTCCACCAAAAGAGCTAACAAAATGCTACACAGAAAACTGGATATCTTGGGAAATCTGCAAACAGATTTTAATTGTCTTTACTAAGTAATAGGATTTTATATGTAAATATAGTATTTTACCCACAGTTTTTCAAGTACTGCTGTTCCCAGTTTTGAGATTAAACATATATAGTTGCTTTATGACCAATAAATGAATCATAGTGAGTAATGAACCACGTATCAAAATCTATGAGAAATATTTCATTAAGTGAAAAGAAAATTTATGCTTTATGTTTCTAGACATGAGCACATTGATCAAAGTAATAAAAATCTCTTCTCAGTCAGAATTTCTGCCCCTAGATTACTGGGCATCAGTTTTGTCTTAATGACAAATTTAGGTTAGTCAAAAATCATAAAATGTCGTATTTTAAAAATTACCAGAAAAATTAACGGATTTTCATTATCACAGTTGTGTATGAGGGAATAACTCTCTGTTGAAAGAAGATGATATGCAAGAAAGTTTAATTATATCTCCTTCTGATTGGATACATCTTTTTTCCTGTGTTTTTATGATTTTCTTGTGGTTTTAGAGAGTTAATCTTTATCGGATTGCATTGGGATGATATTTGTCTTATAATTTTCATTTAAATCTGGGGAGACAGCAGAGTATGTCATATCAGTTTTCTCTTTACATGACTCCATTTTTTGGAAAGTTTTTGTAAAAGTGTATTTTAATATACTTAAAATACATACTAGTAGTTAAGAATTAACATTGTTATCTGTATGACTGATATATATTACTGATTATCTCTCAGAACTACAAGTTAAAAAAATCACCAAATTAAGAAACATGCCAGTATTTTTAAGAGACACCTAAACTAAATAGAAATAGGATGTTTAAATTTAGATTTTAAAAATCTCTTTTGGTTATTTTGAATGGGATTCTTCACAAAATGTACAAACTCATGTCACTTTTTTAAAAAACAAAATTAAATATATGAGACACAGGAAAAGAGAATTGCAGACACTGGAACTGATCAGACTTACGGGTACATGCCATAGTTGGTGGGTCCTTCTCAGCTCTGAAGTAACCTTTCTCACACTGACAGACAGAAGTTGCTTCTACGTAAGTCAAACTGTGCGGAGGGCACTTGGAACACTTTACATTTCCAGCAAATGCTTTATAGAATCCAGGCCTGCAAGCTGCAAAACAAGAAAATAAGTTTCATTAATAGAAGCAAGATTTGGTCAAAAGTAAAATCTGTTCCATGCAGCTATAATGCACCTTCTTTCCTTTCCAACCTATATATATATGTATATATATATATATATATATATAAATCTGTTCTTGGTATACAGTAGGAAATCATTAAAAGAGACAGCTTCCAAATTTACAGAGAGTCCACACTGCTGCTTGAAATTATTATCTGGACAACTTCAGTAATAGCACTAAACAAAAGCACAATATCTATGTTTTATGTAGGTTCCATCTGTTAATAAGAAAGAGTGAGATAACTTGTTATTGCCAAAGCTATTTATAAGGTTTCCTTATTTAAGTAATGGAGAGTTGCAATGCTTAATATGTTTACTCTCGCAATGCCTTGATGAGACAAGGATGACATCCCTATATATTTACAGATGGGTCTGACTTGCCTACAGTCCCCTGTGAAGCCTCTGACAGAACACCCAGCCTCTGACAGCTGGGTCCCCTGCACCCTGCTGGCCTGAGAGGCTGGGAGGTGCTGCTATAACCACCTTCAGCAAGGTAGGAAGGAGATGCTGATACCGTCTAGCACAAACTACCACAAGCCTAAGGGTACTCTTAATTGTGTCAGGAAACAACCTGGATAGGAGCTGCACTGGGGGTGGGGGATATGGTGATGGTCAGAGCTCACTGTGCCTCCAGTTACTTGGAGCAGGGGTCCCTGCTGTTCTTAATCCCAGCACAATTTTACGTGTCTTTATGCTGACATTTAAAGCAGAATCAGTTCGTTAAAATAAATCTTATCATAAATCTGCCAGGTTTGCATTCTGAAATATTATTTTAAAACTATCCTCAGACCTCCTCACACATGTTTAAACAAAGATTTCTTTCATTCTCCTGCCAGCTGCCACTTTTACACACGCCAGCATGTATTGCAGTTACTGTCTTCTGGCTTCCCAATCCAAAAACAGACCAGAAACATCAAACATGTATACACTGTACAGACTCATATTCCTTCTGACTTCTCCAGCAGTACAATGGAAATCATTGCTATAAATATCATTTCAAAGATCCATGTGGCTTTTTCTCATTTTGACATATTCAAGACTATTTTCTTTACATTGCTAGAGACACCAGGCAGTACTTCCTTCTCTTGTAATAACACAAAATAACAATATTAAAATGAGGTGTTCTTTAAAAATTACCCCAAAGTATGCGTTTTATGGATTCATTATCAGTTCATATTGAGTTATTAAAAATTATTAACTCATAGATAACATATACACAGATCAGTTTTGCTTCTGATTCTAAAGGTCTTGTTTGGTATAAAAGCAGTTTCACTTATAGATGAGGCAAAAGGAGTGAGAAGATGGGACTGAAAAAGATAATAGTTGATTGCCTATCTGAATCCAAGAGCCAATTTTTCAAACGTAATTTTAAGAGCTTAATTTTGACCCAACAATTTCAGCAATTGTCATCCTGGTGTGTTCTGACTTTGCAGAACAGGCATTAGGGAGGAATCCTGTTCTGTCACTAATGAAAAAAAACAATGTATTTCTGGTGTTAGAGATAAGAGGGGTGGAAACAGCAGGGACTCTTCCCTTGAAAGAAGGCTACTGGTTCAATATAATTGTGATTATAGTGAGTGGTAATTTACTACTGATTGGAAAGACAGTAGGTTTGGTGCACAGGTGAAGGCAGCATTGTAGATATAGGCTGTAGGCACCGACTCCTCTTAGCTTTGCTGGAAGGAAGTGAGAGAAAAGGTAAGGCAGAATTGGGGAAGGGTGTTAACGCTTGCCTGCTCCTTTCTTCTTGTCTCATGCCCAAATCCTGCCCTGGCTTATCTAAGGGTGAATATTAAGTTCTTGCTTTTAATAGCTACCTTTCATACACATGGTGCGATATAAAGAAGTTTGTGATTAAACAGTTGGCAATTCCAGCTTACAGTTTCAGTCAAAGCAAAATGAGTGCTCTTTAAAATCCTTATTATTTCTAAAATTCATGTCTGTCAGTTCTGAAATCATTCCTTCTTCCCTTCTGTCCCCCAAATGACAAATCTCTTTGGATCAAAGGCACATAGTATTCTCTTTCAAGAGAACTATTTTGCTTAAATTTCAAGCAGTTCACTATTGAAAAACAAAACTCAAGGAGAAGATTAATTTCCAATTGAAAGAAGTAAATGTTTTATTTTGAAATGTATTCTGTAATGGATTTAAAGCAATTACGGTTTTGATATGGTATGTCTCTTAAAAGAAAGCACATGTATACTCATGGAAAAGATGGGGGGGAAAATGGATGAATAAGATCATTTTAATTCTTTTGAAGCCAATCCAAATACATTTATCCATTAAGCCAGGTATGTACCATGAATTCTGAGGCAGAGGAAGATATCAGGGAAGCTTTTCTATGAATAAGTTTACAACGCTATTGATAACCCACTGGTCATCCAAATGTAGAATCACACAACCATGATTATTGGATCCTTTCAAATAAAAACCAGTCCTTCATCAACAAGATAAAATAACACAAGCGGGCCCCCCCCCCCATATGATCACAAGCTTGGGATAACTCGCCTCTGGATAACTCAGTGCTGATTGCCAACATTCAAGGTGAAAGAATATAAACTGTTACTCTATCAAAATCAATGACTATGCAGCATGAGTCTGAAATACAGCACTTTAGCTGCTGTACATATCTAAGCTTAGATTCTGCTAAAAAATACTTTGTTTCAATTAACAACAGGAATTGCTAAATTTACCATTTTCCAAGGAAAATTTGCAAGCACTAGAGTTACTACCCAGTAAAAGCGCATTTAGGAAATGCCTCAATTGCTATGATTTCAGAGATGTGTCTCCCTCTGAAGAAAAGATGGATCTCTTTGATCCTTCAGCCTTATGTGTCTTCATGGAGCTTAAGGCTGTATAAGACCACTGTAAGCCAACTGTAGCTCATAGCAATTCTAATGAACATTTACAGGAAAATTGCACAAAGGAGTTAATGGTATATGCATTCCATTGTAATTTCCAGTTTATGCATAACATTTTGTAAAACTGGGGTTGTGCTATGTTCTACTATGAGACTGCAGATTGCATTACGGCATGTAAATCACTGTGTGTGACCGCAGGTTGTGGTATCAAATCATACATAAGCACTAGATGTATTCAGCTTTAGAGTCCTGAAGTCACAAGCTATCTAAAATAAGTATTAGGATACAACTCTAAAGAGATTAATCAACAGGCTTACTTACATGCTTAATGTTAACCAAGTTCCTCAGATTTTGCCTAGCTTCCTATTATTTCTATTGTTTATTTTCCTGTGGTGGTTTCAGCCACCCAAAATTACCTAGTGCACAAACTACTTAGTGTACAAACTGCCTGATGGGCAAATCAGAAAGCTATAGATGAGTTGTGGTTTTGTATTTGGAGAAGAAAAAAAGCCAGCTTTCCCATGCAAAATCATACCCTATGTAAGTATATTACAAGTAAGTTAAAAGTTTGTTGAGATCTGTACGTATGCAGAAAGTTTCATTTTGTGGGGGTTGATAAATAAGTATTTTTCAAAGTATTTCTCATAACATTTTCTTCAGTCAGTTAATAGTTATTGCATCTACCATTTTCACAAATTATTTGTGCATATGTTAATGTAAAATCAGATTCAAATGATGAAAAAAACTCCTGTCTGGAAAAGCTTCTAATGATGACTATTCAAAAAAACCTAAAGTTTGTTTTTATCTTTGTTACCACATTTTTTTCTAACTTCCGAATCACTGGGAGGCATCTTATTTTCCCTAACGTTATCTAACAGAAGTGACTTTGTGAGTTACTAATTATATGAACTGTATGAGATTTGACTTTTGTAAAGCCTGGGGGAAGATAATATATTGTCTTAATGGTTAAGTAATTAGCAGGGTATCTGAATGAACAATTCAAAGACACTAAAGTTTCCTCCAGTGAAATACCAGAGATCATGCAGAGAAGCACTGATAATTTAATTGGCTTCAAAAAAGATAACACGTCTGTAAATGTGCTTTACTACAGTTTTATCAGGATTTGACTATGAGGTTTTTAAACTGTAGGAACTTTGTAATTAATATAATTTTCCTTATTTAATGTTTAATATATGGCATTTAGTTTTGTTTGTATTATACATAGATTCATATGAAGAGAAATTAACGCTATGCAAAGCTCTGGTGAACTCTTAAAGTGATTCATCGCTTGCCAGCCTCCCAGCCTGCGCAGAGAGTAGAAGGTGGCATTTATCAGGCAGCTGCAAAACAGTTTAGCACTTTTGATGTTATTTGCAGGGGTATTGAAGCAGATTGGAAAAACTGTAGAGGTGCATTGTACACTCGCTGCCTAAAATGAGATATGATCTTAGCTGTTCCAAACAGGATGGTACGTGTGTGATGCAAGACGCTGTGGGAAGCTGCCTGTCCCTGTGCACGGCTGCGTGGTCAGTCTACGGCTGTTACCACCCCTAAGGGCTGCAAGCGCATCCCCCTGCCAGGGCTTTGGCTGTGGGGGCTCAGGGCCAGCTCAGAGGCAGTGCAGCTGAGGGTGGCCCCATCCCACTGGGGCCATGGAGAAAGGCTCCCTGATAGAGTCGCCGTGAGGCCGACCTCTGCCTGTGGGAGCTGCTTTTGGCTGAGGGCTTGGTGCCTGCCTCAGCTACAGCTCCTCTGTGGCACGGCCCTGCCCTGCCCTGCCTGGCCATGGGCCTTGCTGAGCTTGGACCACCTGCGGACCGACATTCTGGCCCAGCCCACCACCAAAGGCCCAAGATGGTGGGACAGGCCCTGCCTGGCGGACATAGGGGAGCACCCTGCCACTACCGGCCCCCAGGGTGGTACCCCACAACCTAAACCAATAGCTGTATATGTATTATAACAAGTGCAGATAAAGCCATACTTCACTGAGATCCAGACACATTTCCAAATCCAAGGGAAGGCTGACCTGTGTGTAGGCTGGTGGGCCGCAGGGCCTGTTTTTGCGGTGTT